TTCTGTATTTCTGAAACAGAAACGGAATACGAAAGATATATTTTCGTGTTTTAAAATGCAACGATGTTCTAAAAGGTAAATGTCTTTTTTACGTTTTGCTGTTTTAATTTACGCTTTTAGAAGCTTTGCTCACACCGCTTGACCTATGTTCTTTTCTAATCTTTTCTTCGAACCGTCCAATTTTCTTTTCTAGGGAGGCAATTAGACCTCTCGATGAAAAATGCTGAAACTGCTGGAAGCTTTTTTGCAAATTCGACACGCTGAATTGGTGGCAACTAATTTGAAGACAACTGTTATCGTAGCTAGAATAAAGTGAAAGCAGTAGGTAAAAGACTTTTTTCACAAGTTCTCTTTACCTGCTATTTCCATTATGTACGCAAGTTACCCTAAACCGTATGTTTTTTAAAGACTGTTTCGACATGGAAAAATAATTTCAAGTTGGGTATTTTGTTGACCGAGACGTTCGTATTTGAAGAAATTACCATCTTACACAATTTTATATGTTTCATAATGTTGTGGCCTTTAGCAAGTACTAATAGAATAGCGTGCCGAGCAAAAAGTTTTCACCAGTCTTTTCCTGATTTACCAGAATAGCCAGAAATTAAATGCGCGATAAAACAAGACGATCCCAATTATGAATTCGCAGAAAGAAAGAAATAAAACTTGTTTACACAACTTAATCAACAGCCGTTCTTATACTTTCGATCTTTTTCAGTACCGTAGCGGTCGATATTTTCTTTTTAATTCCCTTTCGGTTTTTATCTCAAATTCTTCGTCCTTTATTCTCAATAACATTTCAGTATCCGCAGAATGTTAAGGAGAAAGTTGGCAACAGCACATATGTATTTCAAATCGAAGATCGACTTACAATCAATGTAAAGTGGATGTCCCCGGCCTTGTTTTGTAACTTGAATATTTTAAAATGCAGTCGTTCTTTCACAACAAATTTTATAAATTATATTTTTTTATAACAACGTCCGTAAATGGAAATATATTGAATTAATGATCAGAAGAATAAAAAGATAAATTCGTATTGCAT